AGTGTGTGCACTGCCCGAATGAACCTTATCTTCGTATTGGCATTTCAAAGGAGTTGCACCCAAGCAGCTTTCTGTTCCCATTTGTGGTGGGTGAGGTCACAGAGGGGACAGGGTGAAGTTGTCTGGTCAGTGCTGTGTACTTCTAAAGGACAAGGACTACCCAGACCTACAGGTCTTTGAAGGACCAAAGGAAAAGGAAAAAATTAGCCTCTAAACCAGGCCATTTGCTGGAAGCGATTGACTACGAAACAAAAATCAATTTCTGTGTATGAGGGCGCAAGGAAAAGGTCTTTATCTCTGTACAAGACACAATATTCAAGTTTCAAATATCCCAATGGCCTATTTACCCTGAACCTCCTCTGCTCTTCCAATCGCAAGGATGCTCCAACTTGACGGAAGGAGGGCCATGCGGGAAATTAAACAGTCCCTCTGTATCTCTTTAGACCCAACGTTAACGCAGTAGGATGGATTTAAGAACTGGTGGCTTGGCCTGAGGAATTGCTATGTTCGGTGGGAGCAGGGCAGGCTCATAACTGCACAGAGCTCTTGGAATGCAGGGATCATCCACTCTTCTTGGAATGTAGATGTCCTCCCAGGAATGAGCGTCTGCCCTCGCTGTCTAAGTTCCATCAAGGGAGCCTTCCGTTCTCTGTAGTGACAAGAGACAAGACAAGCTATGGTCACACACCTGAGGATTGAGATTGCCTTGGTGGAAAGAAATGCAAAATGGCAGACAGTGCTTCTCAAAGGAACTGCAAAGCAGGGCTGTCACCTGCTGGTCCCCTATCCTCCGGGGGGCAGCTCCTGCCCACAGGCACTTCTGCTTCTCTTATGCCTGCTCCGTAGGACCTACAGCCTCTGTCCCTATATACATGGGGCACATCAGTCCATCAAGTAACCTCATCAAGGGCCCACGTGCACCCAGCATGGTGCCCCATGGTTGTTCCACTTCCCCAAAGAGGAAGAATGAAATAGTTGTAAGAGATATGGCTTCTAGCTTCAGTTCTGCCTCCAAATGACATCACATATACCCTCTTGAGGACCATTTTTAATGTTAAGAATGAAGGACTGATAGGCTGGCAATTGTGGCTCACGCCTGTAATCCTAGCACTTTGGGAGGCCAAGGTAGGATTACTTGAGGCCAGGAGCTTGATACAGGCATGAGCATGAGCGAGACCCTGTCTCTACAAAAAATAAAAAAATTAGCCCCATGCCTATAGTCCCAGCTACTTGGGGGGCTGAGACAGGAGGATCACTTAAGGCCAGGTGTTTGAGGTTACAGTGAGCTGTGATAGACAACACCACTGCACTTTAGCCCAGGTGACAGGGTGAGATGCCGTATGATTCTGCATTAAAAAAAAGAATGACTCAAACCATCTTATTCAAAAGCTGAAAAAAGAAAGAATGACATTCTGATACATTTCAACATGAATGAACCTTGAAAGCATTATGCTAAATGAGATAAGGTAGTCAAGAAAGGATAAATATCATATGATTCCACTTATACACTGCATCTAGAATGGCCAAATTCACAGAGACAGAAAGTAGAACAATGGCTGCTAGGGGTGGCAGAGGGGCAATGGGGAATTATTGTTTAATGGGTACAGGGTTTCAGTTTGGAATGATGAAAAAGTTCTGGAGATGGACAGTGGTGATGCACAGCAATGTGAATGCACCTAATACAGCTGAATTATTTGAAATGGTTAAAATGGTAAATTTCATGTTATGTATATTTCACCAAAATAAAAAAAAGTAAAAAAAAAAGAAAAAGAAAGAAAGGATTCCTTATGCCACCTTGTAGTGTTCTTAAACAGCTTCCAATGGTATTATACTTGTGTCACCAATACACCTACCAGTGCCCGGATCCTTATCTGACTCTTACACTGTTCTCTATGCTGAGGATGCAAGAACCTGCCCCCAAGAATCTTATGTTCTATCAATTATTGATAAACAACACTCCCGTGAAGTAGAAGGTAGAAGAGGCCATAAGAAACTGCAGAAGGGGTTAGGATCAGAGACAGTGAGAGGATCCTGGGCTGGGCAGTGAGGGAATCATGGAAGAGACTTCAGTGCTTCCAAGACTGGATTTTGACCATGGAAGGAGCCCTTGCAGGACAAAAGAGCAGGGCACTCTGGGAGACACTGGAGTAGAGGGGGCCCCTGGGCAACGGTGGGTCCTGAAGAGCAGGGAGCATCTAAGTCCACTAGTCTGGACTGTCCTTAAGCACAGGACACCCTGACGTAGGTGGACTTGGGGAGGCAGGGGCAGTAGAAGATGTGGGATGACTCAGGGTCTTGGGAACCCCATGGCCAGGTTGGTTGGCTACCTGAGGGTGAGCTAAGTGTCTCCATTTTGCTCTGGCCCTGTTGGGTCTGAGGACCCTTAGGAACAGGATGCAGGGCCAAGGCACCCCAAATAAAAGGCCAAGACTCTGGCTCCTCCTTTGGCAGGAGAGACCCTGCAAGTGGGCCAAGAAAGCTGGGCCGGCCCCAGCCGGCTGGAGGCCTGCCAGGCCTGGCAGCTGCGCTCACCCCATTTCCTCCACCCCGCCCGGAGGAGGGAGGCACGACTCTAGTGTCCAGCTTTTCTGTAGGCCCCAGACCAAGTCCCTCCCCAAACACCTCCGATGTTCCTCTTTGGGGGCAGCCAGTGCTCAGGGCACTGCTGCGGAACCAACGCCACAGACAGGAAGGGCTGGGCCACTGTCAACAGGGCCTTGGGGGTTTTCAAGTAAAGGTTAGCATGCTCACATCCAAGGCCTGGGCTTGCTGTGCTTAAATCAGAGGCCAGCCGTCAGCCACTGAAGTACAGCTGTGAAACTGCCCTGCTTTTGGCCAGAACATGGTGTGAACCCCCTCAAAGGTCATTTTCCTTCCAACATCCCCTGGGATCTCTAATTCCTGCTTCCAGAAAGTGCCCCTATGAGCACTTCCAATAAACCGGGTCTGTGCTAGGTGCTCATCCAATCCTTACAACAACCAGGGGAGGGAGTTTGACGATTTCCCAGTTTGCAGATGAGGAAGCAGCGGCCCCTAGAGGTTAAGAAATCTGCCCACAATGACACAGCTAGGAAGCGACAAGTCAAGTTTTAACGTGGCTCTCTGATTCCTAGTGAAAGCTGTTCTTTGGTGGAATCCTATGTTGGGAAAGCAACTGTCTCCATGTGTGGCAGGCACATTTCAGGGCCGAATGATGTAAATCCCCCATCCACATCTGCTGTTGCCAAAGTGTTTGCTGAAAAGAGCTTTAAAGTGGATAATCCACTAGCTTTCATAGGGTGGTTTGAAGTTTACAAAGATTATCGTTTAAGAGATAGCATTTAAAAAGACTATCATTTAAAAAGAAAACTTAAGAAAATTCTAGCAGGGAGCTGTTACTGTAGTTGCTGTTATCCTCCTCCTCCTCCTCCTCTTCCTCCTCCTCTCTATTTTACAGACGGGGGGAAGCTTAAGCTGGAGGAAGATGGGACCACTCAAAGCTGGCTGGGAAGCTGGAACTCACTTCCATCTCCTGACCCCTGGGAAGGACCCCTCGTGCTGGCCCCCAGGAAAGCAGGGCAGGCCAGCTGTAGCTGGCAATTGTCTTTTCTCTGTAACAAGGCAGGGGTCTCTCCAAGATCCCAAGACTCTCGTGGGTCCAGATTCACCCCTTTCGGTTAAGGACAGGGTGTTCTCTTTTGCGTTATCTGTCTGCGTCGGCCACAAACACAATTCATAAACAAGGTAAAAATGGCAGAGGAAAAATGAAGTCAGAATGTGCCATTGAAGCAAGTCAAACAATACCAAATTAGTATTTGGCTAAGTGGCTATCTCATTGTTAAGATATTTCCTCCAATATGTTTTCAGAGGCAACAGCCATTAAACAACTGGGAGCGATCGCCAGGTTTGATTTCGGGAAGGAAATCCCCTCCCATTTCCCTGCTGGGCAAGTCGATTAATTTGCTCCTAACCCACACCAGCTGGTCATTAGGGAAACTATATCTGCCTCTTTTACAAACAAAATCCATTCGCTTCAAGATTCAAAATTCCTTTCCCAATGGCTGGAACGCCTGTGCTCCTGCCAAAGGGCTTTATTATTTGGGGGGTGGGGGCAGGAGCAGCCATGGGGCGCTCTCAGGAGTACCTGGG